GCGGCGGCGGCGGCGGCGAGGACGCGTCTCCGGCGGGGGAGGGGCCTGGGCCACGTGACCAGCCGCGGCCCCGCCGGGCGGAGCGAGCGCGGCGCGCCTGGCCCGCGCGGGCGCCTTGCCGCGGGGTCGCGCTTGGCCGGGGCCGAGCGGGCGTCACGAGCGTGTGCAGAGTGCCGGGCTGGCAGCGGCGCGCGTCCTCGCCCTACCCAGGCGCCCAAAACCGCGAGAGGTGGGCGCGGCGGGGGCCCGCGGCTGGCCCAAGGCCTCCCTGGGGGTCCTCTGGAGCAGAACTGGCAGCCCCGGCCTGCGGAGTGCGCGGGGCGAACTCTGCTGGGAGCGCTGCTTGTTTCAGTGGGGGGGGGGGGGGGGGGGCGCGGGCCCCCTGGGGGGGGGGGGGGGGGCTGGCCGGGCCCCTTGGAGGAGGCCGGGCAAGAGACGGGGCTCCCTGCCGGGTTCGGGCCCTGCCAGTGCCAGCGGCGCTGATCCTGGCGCTGGGCCTGCAAAGCCCGGAGCGGCGCGCATGAACTGGCGCCTGGGCCCCTGGTGCGCCCCACCCGGGCAGGTGGTGGCGTAATCCGCAGGCACGCCGCTGCATCATGCGACTGGGCCTGCCGTGCCCCATCTCACCCCAACGGGCAGCCGCTGCACGGGCGACCTCCCGCGAGCGCCCACAGAATGCCCGGGCCTTGGTAGCCCCGGACGGACGGACGGACGGCTCTTGTGGCTTCCTGGATGGATGGAACCGATCCCTCTTCCGCCTTTGGTTTTCCCTGGCGTGACACTTTTCTCCAGGGAGCCTGGCCTGAAGTACAACAGCCTCGGGGGCTTCCAGGGAAAGATCTGGCTTAATTCGATCTTGGGCCCACTCACTGGTCTCTCTGTTGGTCTGGGCATGTGTCCTCTCCATGCGTCCTGGGGAGGTTCCAGCCGCACTTCCCAGGTACGCGTGCCTGTTTCCCCCCTAGGTGTCTGGGAGGCAAAGGAGCAAGATCTGAACTTAAATCTCCGCTCCCGCTGGACGGCTGGAAGTCACGCTTCGTGGCACTGTGCCGTTCTGGTTACCAGACCGCAGAACATCCACGGCATTCCGCCCTCCCTGGTCTGCTTGAAGAAACCCGTTACTTAGTCTGGGGCTTGGCATGAAATTAACCGCAGCCAGCAGCCAGAGTGTGTCTTGAGAGTCCTGAATTGAGGGCTTTCCCCTTGCTTCCTTGTGAGTCTCACTATTTGCTAGAAGCAAGCCTAAAGGAAAGTCTGGACTTTCCCCTCCTGTTACAAAAGAGCTGGGTATTTACTGTTTCTGACCAAAGGCTCCAAGGATCTGCTTTGCAGTGTCATCAGAACAAACCCCCTTCCCTGATTACTAAAATTTGCAATAGAGACTCACAGTGGATTCTGATGTCCAGAGCCTTGGCTACAGGCCATTATGAAGAGCTCTGTGTTGTACTGAAACTGCAGGTCAAAGGGTTCCTCGTGACATAGTTTAGATCTGACCTTCCTCTCTCTTGTGGCTAAGCACACTGGAACCGGAGAGGTACTGGGGGAGAGAAAGCAAAACCTTTAGAAATTTGGGAACATTCCTGAAAGGGTTGGCGGGAGGAGAAAGAGGCAGCAAAACTACATTTATAAAGAAACTGACTTTTTAATATAAATTATAAACCCATCCAGTTTAAAGCAGATCACTAGCAGTTTTGTCACTTAAATCCTGTCGGCAGCTGAAGCATTTTACAGATTTCCCACAGTCATAAATTAGAGTAAATCAACAACAAAAAGAAATTTTGAAGTGACTTGCACATAACAGAAACCTCCTGTATAGGGTAAAGAGGTCACCCTCCCCCCCCTCCCCGGATTCAACATAACAATTGCCAAATATAAAAGCAAATTTTAAAGTTTTAAAAATTACTAAAATGTTACAAATCCCTCACCCTCCATCAAAATGGGCAATGCAGCTGGCCATGCAGTTTTCTTTTCAGAGAGAAAGGTAGCTGGATTAACACTCTTCAACTGGATCCACAAGAAAATGTATTCAGTGATGAACTTGGTTGTCCGGGATGGCTGCTAAAGGATCCTAGCTCATAATCCAGTACTACATAAAAGCAATTTAACTTCTCTCGGGCTGTAAACAGTCAATTTTTGTAGTTCTCAGCCTAAGCATGTGTCAGTTAAACCACTGCAAGAGATAAAAGAAAATGACATTATTTTATAAATACAGATGGGACCTGGGCTCTTGTGGAAGAAAACCTCTGATTTGATAAGCCGTTTTATTGTATACACAAAGATCAAGAATTTTCTATTGATTTGTTTTGGTCTTTTCTGCCGAATCCTTTCTCTGGAGTGGACAGAAATGCTAGGAATGCGTGGCATTAGAATTGCCCCTGATGCATAGCAAGTAATCAAAGTGAGCACAGTAATAATAAAACAGTCTGTGTAATGGAGAGGCGAAGTCGATCCGATTATATTATTGAACATGTGAAAATGACAGCTATTCTTCGATTTGGTATTCAGAGCTTTGCAACTCAGCTCGAAGGTAAAGGACACACATTTTGCAGAGGAAAACTTGATCGTGCAGCTTTCCATAAATTCATCTGGAATTTTTTAAAGGGAGAAAAAAATCTTCTCAGAGGGGTGCAGCTTGCTGAAAGCAACTCAAGCGCCTAACCGACACATTTCGCGTTCAGTGCCCTGTGGGTTCCCAAGTACCTTGCACAAGTCATTCACAACTACCGGCGAGCACGCTTGTCTCGGGTAAGAGCGTGGTTCTCTGTGGCGCGGCAAAGGCAGTTGTTCTGTGCACCGCCAAATCTTGGAGCGTTCTCTTGCAGTAAGAGCAGGCTTTCTGGAGAAACGTGTCTGTCAGTCTGGTGCTTGGTTAAACTGTCTTCAAGAGACCCCACCGAAGGGTACTTCTTACAGGAAGCGCAGGTGAAATTCGTTCCATAAGTTACCTTACTGAAAGATCCACTCGTCCAAGTATTCTCTCCCCTCTTCTGATTGTGTCCCTGAATCACACAGCATTCTCTTGCAAAGAACGCCTCTGCTGCTTAGAGCAAAACTGATACCCTTTCCGGTTCTGAGCCACAGCTCTCTAGAGGGGCAAGTTACTGATGCTGAACTATTTAAGGCGGGTTCACAGGGCAATTTCCCCTGCTCTGGGGATCCGCTCCAAAAGAAGCAGGTGCCGGTACATGGGTGAGAGAAACATGAGCTGCACATGACTGCGCTGGGAAGCGCTACACCCCCTGTATTTCCTCCCAAATAAACTGGAGAGGTGTCTCTTCCACCCGGACAATCTAAGGTTCCTCCAGAGCTCAGAGGATTAAAAAAAAGTAAGGGCAGAGATGGGTGCAACTTTGGGATTACTTAACTGCGGCAGAGATGTCGAGTTCAGAGGGTTTGCATCTTGCACAAGAAGCTAAGAGTGGCTTGGGAACAGCTGGAAAGGTTCCACCACTTTCCTCTAGGACTGCCAGCTTTCTCGAAACCGTAGCGCTGTGCCGCTGATGTTGCTTTATCGCAAACATTTGCCCAAGTCTGAGGTCCCTGCTCCCAAACAACCTTCTGCTGGCTGTGTCTGTTCTTTCTCTCCTAGAAGGGAAGTAGTTCAACATCCTTTGTGGAAAACTGCTGGTGGCCAACTGCTGCCCAGAGACCAAATTTCATCCAAAAGATCGCAATCTCTCTTCGAAAGCTTGAGCACCGAGAGGCCATAATCTGTCAGGAGCTTGCGGAAATTTTCACCAGGAGCTCCTCCGATGTGGCCAGAGGGGCTGAGGCAGCGGAGAGGATATGAGATGGATTCAGGCTCCCACTTCCGAGCTGATCTTACTGTCCAGACGTTCAGGTCCCTTTTAGACTGGAAAGCGATGGCGGCCAGCAAGTACAACCCAAGTATTCCCACTCCTTCCTTAAAACGCAGCCCCCGGGCAGCGGGCAACACGGGGGAGCTCAAGCAACTCCCGCAGTGTGCCCCCACCCTGCCTGCCTTCCCCCGGAGGAGCGGGGCCACGTGGCGCTGCAGTCGCTGACCTCACGCGGACGGGCCCCTTCGGCTCTGAGCTCACGGTCGGATCCCTACCGAGCTATGCTGAAGTTGCACTTCCAGGCAGGTTTATACATTTCTGCTGCGGTTATTTCAACCCTGAACAGGCTTCAACGGATCCGTTTGCCTTCTTCTTTCCTTGCAGGGGTGGAAAAAGACAGTTTGAAGCTGAAATGCTTTAGCGTGCTCCGCCCAGAACCAACTGCGATTGCCCCTGGGGGCAAGACGAAGAGACAGTTTGGGGGAAATGCTGCCCGTGAGCGCTGCCAACCTGGCAGGCAGCCCTGCTGTGCCGGCGGGGGGGGGGGGCATGCGTGGGGGGGGGGGGGGGGGGGGGGGGGTGCATGTGCCAGACATTCTGCAGCCGAGTACAGCCCTCTCTGACGTCTGCTTTTCTAAGGCAAGAAACTCACATACAGAACTATAAATGCAGCATTGTGTGATTAAAAAAAATAAACTCCTTTGAAATATGCTTTATACTGGATTTCTATTGCTGCTTCTAAAGACCTCAAGCCCCAAATTGTTTCTGGAGAACTCCTGCCTCCCCCCAAAGGGAAGTGAAACAGGTTAGGGGATTTTTTCGGTTTCTCTTACAATATGCTTATGAACATGTATAAAAAGTGGGCTGACCCTGACGGAGGAGGGTCCCTGCTTCTGTGTTTATGTACAATAATTTAATCAGCTTGAATATATCTTTTAATACATAAAAAAACTATTTTACGATCAAAGTCCTTCATGCATGTAGGAGGAAGTTCCAGATTTTAACACCGAAGGGGCGTCAGACGTGGCTTCGCCTCCAGCCTCAGCGCTTCTCTCTCTGCCGCCTGCATCCCGGATGAGTTTCCTCAAACCTTTAGAGTTTTGATGGCATCGAGTCTCTTTTTCAGCAGTTCACCAATTTCCTGAATTGCATGCTGGTAACTGCTCTGGACTTTCCCTAACGCAGTCTTTGTAAACTTCTTTTCTTCCTGGAGGGGAAAAAGGCCACGCACGGACAACACGTTCAGCAGACAATGTAAATGGCAGCAAGCGCGCCACGACCTTTTACTGGCCCTTATAAAAGCCTCCAAATATTGACACTCCGGGTTCCACTCAGCACCGCTGCCTTCTGGCTTTCCAGGCAGCAAGACGGAAGGAAGACGGAGCCCCGCCCAGCGGCTGCTTGCCAGAGGGCCTCCCACGGCTCCCCCCTCCAGGCAACCTTTGTCCAAGCATCTTGGCCTCCCATCCAGGAGCTGCTGTATGTAGGCCTGGCTGGGAGAGGCGTGAGCTTTGCCCCCACCTCATTCACCCAGCCACTGTCCTCATGCGGACTCTTGCATGGCTGGACCCTGGATCCGGCCACGTTTTGAAGACCAGGCTAGGCTTCAACCCTCCTCGATGGACAGGCTCCCGTCCGAATACCCCGAGCGCCAGTTAAGCGCCGGATGTTGGATTTCGTGATCGCACTGGTTTCCAAGAATGCCTCCCTGCAAATCCCAGTACTAGACTCTAGACCAATGAAGAGGCATATACGGAATAGCACAAGTGTGAACGACAGAAGAATCTTCTGGCCAAAGAAAGACGAGAGAACAAGAGGGGTGGGGGTGGGGGCGAGGCAACGGGAGGCCGGGCCAGGCAGAAGGGATCTGGGCAGCCACCCGCCTCCCATGTGCAGCTGGAACACTCCCAGGCAACCTTTTCCTACCAGGTGCGCTTTCCCCATGCATTCTGCCCTGTGCGCGGGAAGGTGGGGCTGGAAACAGCCAGTTCCTGCACAGTCAGAAAACAAGAACTGAAAACGTGAGAGCAATTCTGCAGGGTCAGCCCACCATCTGCTGCTGTTACAGCAGTTTCGGCAAGAGAACAGAGGTGTGTTTTGTTTCAAAGCATCTCTGCTGCATACCCTGGGCGGGCGTGTGTGTGTGTGATTTTTTTTTAAAAGGCATTTTTCAAATGCAATTCCAAATCTGGGAAATTTGAGAACATTCTAAAAAGCCGTGCGCTCCAGCTCACGTCCAGCATGGGAGACGCTGGCATGATGTGTGACCGGAACCGAAATCCCCCAGCGCTGCAAAGCAGCCCGAGCTTTGCTTCGTCTGGCGCCCCCACATGGCTGCCGGTGCAAATGCAGGGCTGGGTCACTCGCAGTCGGACGCCAGCCCAGAAACCGGCCACGGGACCCCCAGCCGAGAGCAGGCTTGGCGCCGAATGGCCTGTGCGCCCGGCGGCAAGGAACACGGCAAGCGAGGGACATGCTGGCCACTCCGCTCCAAGGCGCGTCTCCCTACCTGCGACAGTAAACTGTCTTCTATGGACAGATCTTCAAGTTTAAGTGCAGTCAGCGCAATTTCAAGCCCTTTGAGATGGTCGATCGCGTTGGAAGTGAGCACCTGGAGCCCAGAAATGTAATCCTGGAAGCTGGTGAAAATGGGAGGCTACGAATAGAAAGAAAATGGAGTGTGGAAGATGTTCCGCGGCCTCGTGCAGCGCCAAAACGGCTCCTTTTCCTTCATGTTAAATCCTTTAACGGGATTTTTAAAAATCTGAATCCAGCTTCTTTGTGCTGCGTGACATCAGGAAGGATGTATTTGTCTATAAGAAACTTTGTAATCAAAATCAACATATAAATACTCTAAAATAAATTAAGTAAGCCAAATGTATCAGGCAAACCTAACCAATCTTTTCATTCTGCCCTGGTATCTTGCTCCATAACCGCAAGGGATGAACAGATCTCGTCCTGGTCCATGTCAGTTCTGCATGTGTTCGTGCAAGCTGCTACCAGTTCTGGCTTCAAGCTGTGATTTTTCAAACACCACATGAAAAGTCACATGCTTGAGTGTGGATTGTACACTACAGATTTTATATAATGGGGTTTTTTTAGTGGCTTGCAATATTTTGTGAACTTTCCAGAACTTTGGCTATTGAGTTAGTATAAAGATGGAATCAGTGATTGAAAATGAACTGGCTGCTGCTTTGGGGTGCTGCATTTTTCTGGACATTAACGTCTGGCATTAAAAGCCAAAAAGCGACATCAAAAGGACCTGTAACCGTCAAAAGATGAACACAGCTTGGATACAGCACTTCTGAATGGGGACTCTAGGCAGAGATCCACCTGCTCTTTTCTTTCCAAGTCACCCCCACTTCTTGCAGCAGCAAATTCCGTAAAATCGCACACTGTGTACCATTGTTATGAGGTTTTCTTTTTTCTTCTTTTTCTTTTTCTGGAAGCTTGACTTGCAGGGCCGCAGGACGGAGTCTGAGTAACTGCACACCCACAGGGCAACAGAGACGGCCTGGGCAGAAGAGAGGAGAGCTTTAGGAACACCGCAGGTTTCGCAACCGGCAGGGGGTGAGGAGGGGGCACACTCACCTCCACAAAGAAGACAAGATTTTCTAGGACGCTGGGATGGGTTTTGACACTGCCCTTGTTCACTTCCAACAAGTCGCCTTTGCACTTATTGAACTGATCTTCAAGGAGAGACAAAGAAGGGGGGAAGTGAGGCGCCTGGAAACGGGTGTCGGCGCCTCCTTCTGCTGAGCCGCGGCTTCCAGGCCCAGGTCCAGGCCAGGGCAGGCGTGCAAAGCCCGGGCTCTGCCGGGCTCTGGCTGGAAGCCCGAACACGCCCCGACCCCAGTGAGGGCGACTGGCATCGCTAGGCCAGCACGGCCTCCTCCCGCGGCAGTGGCCCTCTCCCGGGCCAAGGGCCAGTCAGGCCTGGAGCAGCCCTGCAGGGGCTGTGCTTCCATGGGGGGCCAGGCCACGGGGGGGGGCACGGGGCCAGAATGCCCACCTCGGTCACGCCCAGCCCCTGCTGCCAGACACTAAGCGCTCGAAGCGGCCTGCCGAACTTCCGGAATACTGTGCAGAAACCAGGAGGCCGGCTGTCGCCAGGGGAGGGAGCGGGACCACTCGGGAAGCCCCCGGCAGGCCTGCGCTCCGGCACTCCTGGGCTATTCGGACCCACGTGTGGGCCTTGTGGGCAGCAGCCTTCCTTTCAAACATTTCCGCCCTGCTTTCGAGGGTGAAACCCTCCTCGGGTGGCCCACATAGTAAAACCCAAGCCAACAATGAACAACAGAACGCGAATAAAGGCCAGCAGGATCAGTAGAACATCCAGTCCAGAAAATACCGAAGCCCAGTACGCAAGGGCAGCTCCGGACTGGTAGTTGTGCGTATACATTCACAACTTCAGGAGCTGGCCAAGGAGAACGCGCCAGCCGCCAGGGCTGCCTCCAGGGCTGCGGTGCTGGGGCCCTTCGCCCCCCGCGTTTCTTTGCGGGCGAGGAGCTTTGGTGGCGTTACCTGCCAGGGGGCTCACCTGTGAGCTGTTCCAGCAAGGACTTCAAGCTGCTCCCTACTCTCTCTTGAATTGCTGTCGAGTCTTCTGAAAATAAAGAAGAGTTATCAAACGCATGACGATGGTGATCGTTAAGGTTTTTTAAATCAGGAGACTGTTTCAGAATAAAGACACGAGGCAGCTCAAGGAAAGAGCACACGACCCCAGTCAAGAAATGGAGGCTTCGGTGAAGCACGGGAGTGCACGGGATGCCGGAACACGTGAACCACAATGCCCCCAGAGCGAGACGCCGATGGCGAGTCGTCGATGATCCGATTGTTCAATCCTGAGAAAACCCGACCGGAGGCAGCCTCCCCCAGCCTGCCCCCCGGGGATGCTGGGAGTTGTCGTCCAACGCCTCTGGATGGCGCTTGGCTGGGGAAGGCAAGCTCAGAATTGCTCCCGCGTGAGCGTCACCGCAGCGGCTCGGAAGAGGGCAAGGCCGTCGTGCCAACCTGCAGCCCAGCCGCACTCCCGGCCACCCACCCACCGGCACGGCCCAGCCCAGGTGGGCTCCTCGTCCCGGGACCTGCAGGGACCCACCTAAGCCGCTGGTATCCAGTTCGTGGACTTCGCTAACAAGATTGAACAGGCCGGTTTGGCACTGGCAGCTGCCACTGCTGAAGAAGCTGGCCATGCGCGAAGGAGGGGGGCCGAGGACCGGGTACTGCGGAGGAAGCGAGACGGGGAGTCAGGAGCCATGCCCCCTTGCGGGAGAGCGCAGCCGCGTCGCCTCTGGGCGACCCTACGGGCTGGGTGCAGATGTGTGTTGCATCCACGGCAGTGACCGAAGCGGGCCCCCATCCACCTCAACCCCCTCGATTTGCTACCGAGAGAGCCAGGACGCCACCGGATGGCGTGAAGGAAGGGCAGTCCCCGTCCCGTCCCCCATGGACTGCGGAAGGCAGAGCCTGCCTCCCAATATTTATTCCTAAGAGGGATTATCTATCTTTATTTCTAAATATTTATTCCTAGGGAGAACTGATTGCGCCACTGCTAAAATCTCACAGGGTGACTCACGGCGGAAACAGACAGACCCAAATCCACACATCGCAGAGTGAAAGCACCCAAACAGAACTGCCCGCTAGACACAGAGGCCTTGCAAGAAGGCCGGGACGCGTCAGGGAGGCAGCTCGGCGATGCAGCCCAGCAGGGGCCCTGCCCGGCTCCGCTCCCCGGGAGCAGCACACGTGGCGCCGCCCGGGAAGGGCGTTCTGGACCCGCACCTGGACCTTCTGATCGAGGAACCTCTTCCCAGAATTCACTGCTGCACCGAGCTGCTGCAGCAGCGCCCGTATGGTGTCGATCCTGGAGAAGACGCCGTTCTCCGCGTTCTTCTCCGAGTTCTTTGGCTGGGTGCTGGGGCCGAGAGTCGGCAGGCCGCTTATCAGCCGGAGCGTCAGAGACCGAATCTGCAGCCAGATGGTTTCTTCCTCCAAGGAGAGCTTTCGGTGCTCTTCAGAAATGCCTCTGTGTGAGAGAGACCCAAAGGCACAAACTCAAGCTGTCCCCCAAGCTCCGGTGGGCGCTGAGAAAGCCAGCGTGGGGGGCTCCTGCATTGGACTTCCAGACACGTGGACACGAGGCGGGGCCACGTTTTCTCATCCGTGGCCTGTCCTGAGCCGCAAACAAGGCTCCGGCCCCACCCCTTCCTGACAAAGCGCGCCTGCGCAGGAGGAGAAGGGGCCTGTTCGCCTCCTCCACGGCTCGGACGCGGCTGCTCAGGCGGCTGGCAGGGCCCAGCCTCCCTCCAGGGCCCACACCACCGCTCAGCCGAGGAGACACCGCCCCGTCCGATGGGGCAGCACGCGGCTGCCAATCAAAACTCCTCCACTGGGTAGAGGCGGCAATGCCTGGGGAGTCACAGACTTCCCCCTGGGGAAAAGGAAGCGGTCAATGCGAGCTGCCCAGACAATCGGAAAGACCGGCCCGTTGGCGAGGAGAGAGCCAGCTTCAGCATCCGTGGCTCAACTGTGGTGGCCCCTGCCAGAGGGAGCGGCGAAGCAGGCCGAGCTGTGGGCACTCTGCTCCAGCTGGCTGGGGATTTCTGGACCAGGAACCCTGGCCGGACGCGCCTCTGATAGACCAGGGCCCGGAGGCGGGTCTGCGGCAAACAACAAGGCCTTGGGAGAGGCACCGCCACCTTTCGGCGTTTTGGGGGGTCGCAAAAGCCAGGAAGCAACCCACGCTTGGTGGGCGGGGCAAAAGGACGTGCTGGAGAATCTGGGGGGGGGTTGCTCCCTGACCTGAGGCTCTGCACCCCTGGAAATAGCACTTTCGGAAAAGGCCCACCTGTCTTTGGGGTCCCAATTAAATAAGACGGCGAGGTCTCGGTTGTCCCGCAAGTCGTTCCAGGGAATGTCGTCTTCTTCTGGGCTTAAGCTCATGGCCTTTATACTCTCTTCCAAACTCGTCGATCTGGTTTTGGGGGAGGAAAACAGGAGTCAGATGCTGGAGCGGACGGGTCGGAACTGAGGCAATGCGCACGGCGCACGCTCTGCACGGGGGCTGCCCCGCTCTCCCCAGGCAGGCCTTCCAGCCGCGCTGGACTCCACAGGCCCAAGCGGACTGCAGTCCGACACCGCTGGAGGGCGCCCGCTTGGGGACAGCCGCTCCCTGCAGAAAGCAACCCAAGGAAAGCCCAGGAAAGTTGCCAAGGGTGATCCACAAGGGGGAAACTGGGGGGCGCACCTGTTTTGCGCCCCCCGTTAGCATTGGTGACACCATTAGCACTGACGGTGACGCCGGTGTGTCCATCCCTGCTTTTCGCTGGGAGCCCTTGCATGCCTTTATTATGCCACCGTGCTTTACGTTCGTTTTAATATTGCATTATAACTCTGCTACCGGAGAACTTTGGGCTTCCCCGGGAGGTGGCTGAGGCCCCATCGGGGAGGGTGTTCAAGGACAGGCTGGACGTGCACATGGTGGGCATGTCATGAGCGGAGCCGGCTGGTGCCGGAGGTCAGACTAGATCGCCCGGGAGCCCCCTTCTGACTCGCTCTGTTTTCTATGTTTCTATAATTTGGGCAAAGGAGAGATTTCCGGAAGGGCCAGTTCTGCGCCCTCTGCTTCGGCTCGAGGCTCCCGGAGCGTCCCTGAGAACGGTCCCCGTGAGGCGGCGTTGATCTGCCGCCCCTCGGCCTGGCCAGCCTCCCTCCTCTGCGCCCGCGGCCCGGCACAGGAGCAGCCCCTTCCAGACTCACGTGTTGGCTTCAAGGAAGAGGTCCAGCAGCATCCGTTCCGTGCGGACTTGTGCAAAGTGAAGGGACGAGTTCAGTCTGTTCCTGAAAGCAATGAATTCTGGGATCTTCTCGAACGCGCCGTATTTGTAGGCCTGGATAATGTATTCTGAGGTCTAGGAGGGAAGCACGGGAACGGAGCGTGACGTGACCGCTCTGCCGACGGTGGGCGGCGCTCAGGCCCGGGGCTTGGGCAGGCAGACTGCGGTGAGCGTGGTTTTGAACAGACCATCCAAGCGAGGGAAGCCGCACGGGCCCCGACGGGAGGGGAAGGTCCGGTGCGCTTTCCATGGGGCACGTGCAGGGGGCGCTCCCGAGGGAAGGGCACGTGCTCCCCGACCAGGGGCGGGTCTCCTGGCCACTTACATCTTTCTGGTTGGAGTGGAAAAACCTGAGTGCAAAGTTGCAGGACTGCGATGCGGCGGCGTAGTGACCGAAGGCTGCGGCGTAGCGTGTCAGCAGGTAGCTGCAATGCAGAACAGACCCGTTTGTCGCTGGGTGTCGACGAGCCACCATCCCACACCGTCGCGGCAGCCCAGGCACCGTGCCAGGGCCCCCTCCTTACAAGGTATGCAGCCGTTAAAACGGCTCAAAGCAACTTCCATTAAAAAACGGGCAGGTTAAAACAGCAGCTGCAGCCCTTCCTTCGTGCTCAATGCAGGGCTGTGAGGGAGAAGAGGGCAGCTTCAACTGGGACCGAAAGGGGGCTGGTGTTGGCGCCAGGTGGGTCTTAGTGGGAAGAGTGTCCCGTGACGGGGGGCACCGCGGAGAAGGCCCTGCCGCGGTGCCTCCTCCTGCCCCTTCCCCTGGAGTCTCCGTGGGGGAAGGCCTCGGGCTGCCGGTGGGCCCCCGCAAGGGTGCGCCACCCACCCGATGGTGTCGTGCTGGATGTGCTTCGCGTCGAGGCTGGAGTACAGCTCGGCCACCGGCTCAAATGCCCCGAGCATACAGTAGATCCGGATGAGCAGCAGCTTGAACTGCGCGTTCGAGGGACTGTGCACCAGCCCTTCCTCGAGCAACGCCAAGCACTGCCAGGCGGCCGACTCGTCACCTGGGGAGAGAACATCGCACTCAAGCCTTCCGCCGGCTCGGAGGAGTGGGCAGGCCACCAACAGGCCTGGGGGCTCTCCCCTTTGCCCCACCGGGGCCGCCTTGCACCTCGACTCTGGGGGCTGGGCTGGGCGGGGCGGGCGACGTGGCTGCTCCCCACAGCAGCCTGGCCCGTGGCCAGGTCCGCCACTCCTTCCGCGGCCACAGCACAGGATCCGGCCAGCCCCCTTTCGGAGCTGCTCCTACTGATGGCCTTCACGACCTCTTGCAGCAGCAAATCTGATATTCTATGCTTCACGTTTCCCCAACCACGCAGAATTCTTGCACGCTTCTATCACGATTTCCACTGCACTCACATTTCTTTCCAATTTCAATAGACCCAAAGGATTCAACGTTCCCTTTTGGAGGAGTTACTCCGACCCTTGATGCTTTTGGTTGCCCCTCCCGGGTCGCCATTCCCACGTGCGCCGGAGGGCTCCCGAGGACGTACCTGCCTCCAGCCAGATGTCCAGGAGCAGGTGGACAGCGAGCACACAGTAGTAGTCCGAAAACTGCAACTCCGTTTTCAAGCAGGATTTTCCTGGGGAGAAGCAAAGCCACACCGTGTCGCCTCAGGGACCCCCGAGAGCTGCACCGGAGGATGCGCTGGCTGCTGGGCGAGCTGCACTGCGACTGTGTGGTGGCTTGGCCTGCCTTTCCCCCTGAGAGTGCCAGCTGGAGCACTCTCTTCACCCAGGCCTTCCCCTGATTTGATTGTGCTGCCCAGTTGTGTTTAACGTTTTATTGTATTTTATAAATAAAGTATTTTCCTAACAACAGTCTTAAAGCAGCTTACATCATTCTCATTCTCCTCCTCCATCTTATCCCCACAACAACAGCCCTGTGAGGTAGGCTGGGCTGAGAGTCTGTGACTGGCCCAAAGCCACCCAGGTGGCTCCATGGCCGAGCAGGGACTCGAACCCGGATCGCCTGAGTCCCAGTCCCACGCTCTTAACCACGACACCACACTGGCTCTCATGCATATAAATGATTCTGTCATTATGTCCTGTTTTAATTTCTTTGCAAGCCGCTTAAATACATTGTTTAAACTATGACAAGTGGCACAGAAATCAACATAATCTCAGAGTTTATTTGTACAACAGTTCATCCTCAGCAGCTCATAATCTCCCCGCCCCCCCAAATAACTTGTTTGGTGTGTTGTTCACGAGCCACCAGAAGTCGAGCAAAAGAAAGAGCATCTTGTGGCACCACAAAGGCCAGAATATTTATCACGGCTCCAGTTTTGGCTGGCCAGAGCGGACTTTGTCGGGGGTTTCCCATGCCACGCTAAGTAATCTGCACACGCGTCTGGACGATGGATGCGGGGAGGATTGTGGCATCAAAGGAGACTGAAACATGGGCAGTGCAGGCCGTGAAGCTCATGCAGCCATTCACAAGCAACGACAGCAAAAGGGACAGCTAGGCTGCATGAGGAGAAGCCTTCATCCCGCTCCAAGCCCAGAGAAGTTCTGACATTTAAGAATGGCCACCATAACATCAGTGCAGGGGGTCCTGGGGGGCAGGGGTTTCTTCCACTAGCCCTCCAGATTACCACGTCAAATGTCAGGTCCGAGTCCCTTTGCTCTTTGTGCTGAGACTACCCTGTCTGTCCCACATAAAACCCAGCAGGGAATTTCTGGCAGTTGGAAATGCTGCCATCCACAAAAGCTCCGGTTGCAAGACGTGCCGCAAGTCGCTTTGTCGTTTTGCTGCAGCAGACAAAGGCGGCTCCCTGCCTAGACATCCTTACAAGCGAGATGAAACCCGCCGAAGGGATCTAACAGAGCTCTGAAGCAAAGCACACGGATGCGGAAAGAGCCCTGCTGGACTGGGCCCCGGGCCTCTGCGGTCCACCCAGAGGCCAGCTAAATGCCTCAGCGGAAAGATCACAAGCGGGCCGGGAGGGCACTTCACCGAGTTCCACAAACAAACTGAACCAGAGGGCAAGACGAGCGCAGCGGCCACGGCGTGGGGCAGGAAAAGAACGCCGAACAACCAGGGCATTCTCACATGCCCCGGGGGCCTGCCTTTTCGGCTCGACTCACCGAAATCCAGCCCTTGCCGATACCGCAGCATCAAGTCCCGGACGACGTCCAGCTTCTGGGGCTTGTCCATCGCGTGGTAGAGGCCGAGGAGCCTCGTCAGCTGCACGACACACAGGTGCTGCTGCAAGGCTTTGATGCTGGCGGGCAGGGCAGGGCGGCCGTCTGTGGGGGCAGACAGGGGGATGATGCCCAGCAGCCGGTTGATGAACTGCAAGTGAGAGAACGGCAAGGTGAGAGGGGCGGGGGGCAGGGCCGCGAGTGGAGGGGCACGCAGCTTCTGGCGGCCCTGGGAGAAATGAAGGACCGTTGCAAAGGACGGTCCAGAAGGGGCGAGTGGGTTGTGTTTCCGTGCGTGCCAAGAAGCCAGCACTGAAAATGCCCAAGATCTCCAGCTGTTCTATTTTTGCCGGACTTGGCATGGAACAGAGAAGGAAGCCTGTGCTAGCAAGGAAGGGCTGTAGGGATAGGAAAATCAAAAGCACTGAAGGGCCGGATCCTGAAGCATTCTCAGGAAATGCTCCATCAACTAAATCCAGTGTCTAAGGCAGACTGGGGGAAATTGCTTTCAATGTGCGTCTGCACACGCACGCACACATACACACTTAGAATAGCATCACATGTACAGGAATGACATTGAGGGAAAGCTGGTTTTGTGGGGGAAGAACACAGCATCCTTAACTCTGGGTTGCAATGAGGACTAGAAACTGTCTTAAAGAAAGTGGAAACAGGCTTGGTACAGGCTGGATATCAGGATGGGGCAAAAGTCGGCCAAGTCCCTTTCCCCTCTCTGACCGCTAGAAACTCTGCTCAACACCCTCTAACATTCCACCCGGCTCCCCAAATTCTTCTCACAGCTGCAAGAGCTGGAAAACCACCTTTTCAACAGCTCAAAGCTTCGAGATACTGAATTTGGCACCAGATCTCAGATATCATCTTAAGGTGTCCTGGATCACAGGTGATCTTCTGCTTAGTCTGCAGTATTCCTGCCTTGGAAAGCCAGCATCTGATGTGGGAAGCTATGCGCCGGAGGAGTTACAATTACGCTTCTCCTTGGGGGGGCGGAGGCTGTGTGTCCCTCGTGCCTGAGGGCTCCTCTGGGCAGCCGGCTTCCCACGGAGCGTATGGAGTGTGGGAATGGATGGACCTACAGGACTTTTCCTGAGGGGCCCGACACAGGTACAAGGCTCCAGGTGAGAGGTTCTGGGGAAGAGCCACGCCATGCCTGTGACACAGGCCAGGAAGGGGAGCCCCTGCCGGACTCCCTGGGAAGAGGACTCTGGCCTGGCTGGGTGCAAGCGAGCAGCATCAGCTCAGATACCAGCTTAGGGAAGGGCATAACAGTAACAGCCCCTTTCAAATGGCAGTGTTTACAATCGGCTTAGAAATAACACCTTCTGGATTATACTCGATTGTCCAGCAACCTTTGATGAGAGCAGGACAGGAGCTAGCAAAGGGGGGGGATATTCAACAATAAGCCCTCGAGTCAACAGACCCGGTGCCATTGCTCTCAGCAGTTTCATTGGCTGCTCTTGAGGGGCTGGGGGCAAGGGGCTGCATTCAGCCCTCTGGCCGCAGGGGCTTAGGAGAACAATGGGCCGAGCGCCAGGGCTCCCAGCTGCTGAAATCAGCCGGTAAAGCTGCCCCGGCAGCACAGAAATTCTCTCCTGCAGCGAACATTCAAAATGGGACAGGATCCTTGCCACACTGCCGTGCAAAACTGCAGGAGGAAAAACCTTTTGCTGGGCCCACTTAAGGCTGGTGCAGAGGCAGGCCAGCTTCCAGGTTTCAAAGAACGCTTTGTCAGGCAGGGGAAACCTGTGCTTTGCCAAAGCCTGCACACTGCTGCATTACTCGAAAAATGAGTTTTGTCTTCTTCGCTCTTTCAGTCATTGGGACAAATAGAGCGGCCACAGAAGGAGAGGAGGAGGGAAGCAAATCAAAAGTCCCTTGAGGAAATCACAAGCTCACAGCACTTACCTTTGTGTACTGGCTCAAGGGGAGGAGGTCGATGAACACCTTGAGGTCCGTGAAGCAGCAGGGTTTATCCCCAAACCGTCTGAAATACTGGAACATCAGTTCTTCCGGATCCCCTAAGGCAGGAAGGAGAAGCAACAGAAAAGGTGGGGGTTTGCTGCACATTCCTGGACATCACGTGACTGAGCTGGCAGGACTCCCAGGTGGCGCCTAAGAGCGTAACTCGGGGCGGCTACAAAAATACAGATGGATCCAGCAGGCGAGTGCGTGGCGGAATCCAAAACACAACGGGACCGAGACGTGCTGGGCACCACGACTGACGCCACCTCCCTTCAGCGCCACGTTGATTACGTCTTGTCAGACCTTCAGCCCAGGCAAAGCCCAGGATCCATGTCAGATGGTGGGGAAGGGCCAGCTAAGGCTGACCTTGGATCTGAAATGCGTTGACTAAAGTAAACAGAGAGTAAATGAAGTACATTCCCTGCAATGCGTTTACCATTAAATGGAGACCTAGTTCTGGGGTGGGAAGCTTGCACTACAGTTCCCATGATCCCTGAGCAGTGCCCATGCCTGCTGGGGCTGATGGGAGTGGGAGAAACCTTCTGCAACACTCATCACAAGAGAAGAATCTTCACAGCTGCCCTGGATGCCCGTGGCTGGGATGGGAAATCAAACAGTGGTTCCCGGTTCTGAGTGAGTCCACGGGTTACTCGCGTATTTACCGTCCGCAAGCCGCTTCGCTGCGCCAAGGACATGAAGAGGCGCCAAGCAGCCCGCCTCTCACCGAGGCACAGCCGCCTTCCCGCTGCCCCCGAGCCCAGTCCGCACCAGCCCCGGAGCAGGCCCAGCCCCGTCCGGCACCCCGCGGGCGGCCCGTACCCAAAGCATGCTCTCCGCTGTAGCCCCTCTGCCGCAGGCGCCGGATCAGCTCCAGCTGGGCCAGGAACGGTCCCCGGAGCGGGCGGGCGCTGCCGGACTCCTGCAGGATCCGCTGCTCGACGAAGGCCAGGGCCTGCTCGGCGCTGTGGTGGACCTCGCCCTCCAGGGAGCTGCGGGCAAGCAGGGCGCTGAGTCTGGCAGCTCCGCTCTGCCCCACGCCGCGGCGGCCAAGGGCCGGCACCCGCACGCCGCGCCGCTCCAGCCGTCCCCGGACACGGGACCGCTGCCCCCGGGCGGCCCAGCCAGCCTCCTGGGGGCAGCCCTTGACAAGGAGCGGGGGTCTCTGCAAGAGCTCGAGGGTCACTCACTGCTCCCCTTCGGCCGGAGGGCTCCAAGCCGTGTCGACCAGTTGGAAGACGGAGTCGAAGTAGATCACATAGAACTGCCAGTCATCTGGGCTAAAGGGAAGAGCGCGAGCAGAGCTGAGCAGGGCAGCGCCGCCCCGTCCCCCCGCCCGATCAACGCCATCCTCGCACTTCCGCGCTCCTCGGATGCTCCCTGGGGCAGCCCTTCCCCCCACGGTGCCCGGAAGATGTTCTGGACTCCACCTCCCAGCACCCTGAGCACTGCCGTGCTGCCTGGGCCTGAGAGGAGTGGACGGCCCCCAGGTCTGGAGGGATGCGACTTGGGGGGGGGGGCGCCTCTCGCACTCGCACTCACTTCTTCAGGAGAAGCTTCCTCGAGAGCGCGCTGCACTCCGGCCACTTGCTCAGCTTTCTGTACATCTCCATGCACTTATTCTCTCTGCTCTGGAGCTCGCTGGTTAACTTCTCTAAGTGGAACAAAGAGCCCCAAACTCGCATGCCCAAGCCCACTCCTCCGGGGCCACGGCCACAAAAGCACCCGCTTCCCCTCCCCGACCGTCCCCCGGATCGGGCCACAGGCAAGACGGGGACAAAGCTTTGGGGGGCCGCTTGACCCACCCGTGCAAGCCAGCCGGGGGGGGGGGGAGCGGAAGAAACGCGGCTATGCACGGGCAGTGGGCTGCGAGCGAGCCGACCCAGTGCCACGCAGTCCGCCAGCAACACTGGGCCGGCCGGCACGTCGCCTCTCTCCACACGGGCCTCACTCACCTCCTAGCCTTCCTCTTACAACATCCAGGGCCTCCTGGTATTTCTCCAAGCGTTCTAGGATCATGTAGTAAAGCTCAACCTGCAGGAGGGAAGGGGCGTGGGGCACACGTCAGAGCGAGAGTCCGTGGGGAGTGCGATGGCCAGGGGCGGGTTGTGCCGCCGTCTCCAGAGAGAAAGCCTTCGAAGGAAAGGCGCACACCCCGGCCTCTGCCGTCAGATCTGGGCAAGCGCAGCCACGTGGCTTCCTGGCCACTCCTGGCTGCGCTTCTAAGAGCCAGTTGCTCTGTCTCGCTAACTGCCGACATGCAGATCAGGGTAAAGCTCCCTTCCACCCCTCCGCCTTTCAAATCTCCCATTTTCCAGCTTCTTCAAGCTGCTTGTGGGTTTGAAACGGCTCCCTGATCCGTGTTACAGGTCCTCTGGAAAAAGGTGGGCCAAGAGAGAGGTGGGTGGGTGGAAGAAGGGAATATGCCGGGCAAACTCCTAAGAATCAGAAAAAAGGAGGAGGAAAGAAACCCCAAAGTTCTGCTGGACATGTGTGTCCTCTTGCTTGTCCTGCTCAAAAGAAAGGCCGCTAGGGACACAACTCCAGGCACGCTTAGAAGAAAAAGGTCTTGTGCCCCCGCCGGCCATGGCAGCCTTTTCGGCCTAAACCTGCACAGGACTGTGCCCCCGCCCTGCACTGACCTGGGAGGAAGGGCCACTAGACTCAGCGAGATCTGCTTCCGAGCAGCTACGCATCTGCTCAGAGGGCCTTTGGGCTCATTCAGCGTATAGTCAGTTCAAAAGCCAGTCAGTCAGTCAGTCAATCAATCGATCGTGCTGTCACGAAGGCTGGACAACTAACTGGACACCTCCTCCTTCGGCTAGCAGGACAAGACGGTGGCCAGTACTTTGGGTATACATGTGCCACTTGGATCCCCTCTCACACACACACTGCTCTACCTCCCTTAAGGAGATGCAGGCTATTTTCGGAGGGGGTGGCCCCTCACGTTCGGGGTGTGCCCAAGCTTTGGGCTAACCACTCCTACAGACTTCAAGCTACCTTCTCTAGTCCAGACGGTCACATATTTTCTATGACAGGCCGAAGGAGCCATTCAAATTCAAGCTCTCGTAAAAATAAGATAAAATAAAGCAAAACTCTAAACAGAAGTTATCTGTTCATTATCATCAATCGTCAGCTTAAACACATTGCTTGAAAGTAAGATCTTACTTCAGCTTCTGCTTCGATTTTATCTTCCTTCACCATTTTTTCTACCATCCTTTCAGCTAGGGGTAAAAACATGGTTTTGGAGAGTTTTTCATCCTGCGCAGATATCGACTGGAAGAGAAAAGGATCTTTTGAAGCGGCCTTCTGTGGAATCAGCTGTTGGGCCTTCGAGCACGGGATGGCCAGCAGCAGCTCTGTTGCCTGGGGGGCTTTATTTCAGGGGTGCAGCACCTCAGGTTTGGGCCCAGCGCCTCTGGGGATTGCCCGGCTGAATCCTACTGGCTGGCGCCACACAGACAGCAGCTCTGCCTGTGAAAGCGAGGGCCGCGAGCAGCCGCAGAAAAGTGTGGGGGGAGCGGGAGATCGCGTCACAGGAAACTCACTTGATGCTGGACCCACCTGCATGATCAAGCTCATCACAGACCAGAAATAGTACGGGTTTTTGGGGACGATCTTGTAAAGTGCCATTCCAGCCTGAAAAACAAGCAAGTGCAAACATCTGCAGAGAGCGCCAGTGCAGTGGAGCGGTGAAGCACATGGGGCTGGGGCTCAGGCGCTCTGGGTTCGAGTCCCCGCTCAGCCACGGGGTCTGGGTGACTTTGGGCCAGCCAGACTCTCAGCCCAGCCTACCTCACAGGGCTGTTGCTGTGGGGAGAAGGCTGCGAGCAGCAGGAGGCGCATGATGCTAGCTACTCTGAGTTCTTTGTAAGAAAAAAGGATATAAATGTAATAAATAAAAATGCTTTAGGTTCATTGCATTAATTTGTAACCCTCAGAAAGGCTTGCAAATAAGACATTTGGGCAAATGGGTGACCCACAGGAAGTCCCTGTGTTACTAATTCTTTGCGGCAACACAGAGAAAAAAGAAGAGCGATACAGAGGCAAAAGAGCACTTTCCCCCACTGGGGCAGAGGGACCACAGTGCAGGCTGGAAGGAAATCTCTGCCCCATGCATCTCTATGGGACAAGGCCCCACAGCTGCCTCGGTTGGCCTCATTCAGTGGGAAATGGAAAGCTGGGGAAGCCCAGCAGAGTATTTGTTTCCAAAAAAGAAAAGGGGAAACCAAGAAAAAAGAACAAAAAGGAGGCTGTTCTGCTTTTAAAAACAAGCAAAGTTTCCTTTCAGTTTTGCTACCCCCAGACTAGTTTCTTAGCTGAGTTCTTATAGCGCTATCTGAAATAGGAGATGCGTTTTCTCAAACTTGTTAACCACGACAAGAAATGTGAATACTTTTTAAAAACACACCGTAACTTTAAAGATTTTGCAAGCTTACAAGTTAAACACAAATGCAAAGAATTCCAAAACCGTTTCAGTTCACAGGTATCTTAAAAACCAAAGAGCAAATCATTAAAAGAAGTGCAAAAAGAAATCATATAAAATTTAAAAACCTGAACTACAATCACTCATCAGCGGATCTGGATATGAACAATTGTTTTTCAGCTGTTCAGAATGGCTTTGCACCCAGGCGGCCATCTGGCTGGTGGGCGGGAAGCTCTGCTCGCCGCCCACCCCGCGGACCGGCGGGCGCCTAGCGCAGGGAGTACCTGTTGCATCTTCTTGTACTCGCCCACTCGTGCATAGGCCATGAAGAGGTGGGAGTGGTACTCTTCGCTGCTGGGGACCTTCTTCACGGCTGCCTCGTAGAGTTTCGTGACCAGCTCCGCTGAATCAGGGAAGAGGCTTCCGGTGAGGCCTGGGATTCGTGGCAGGGCCGGGCCGGGCCGGGCCGGGCCAGGCAGCACATTTAGAAAGCCCCCTTACTGCCTGCTCAGCTGCCCAACCTCTCTCGTTTTTATTTACTTATTTACCACAGAAGGATCAACGGGGCCCCGTAAGCAGGACCAGGCCGGCTTGGCAGGATCCCTGGGAGGAGGAGACGACCCTGCCCCGCACCCGCCGGCGGCGTGCCATGCTGCCCAGGGAACGCCGGGAGCTGTAGGACTGTGCCCTGACTACACCACTGTTCTACCCCCCCCCCCCCGCAGTATTGTGTGGATTAGACTGCAGACACCTGCCTTTGAGTGGGGACCATTACAACCCAAACGCTGGAAGGGCGTGCAATTTCCCAGCCAACCCCCTTCGACACACCCCAAGAGCATCACAGGTGTGGCCCCCAGGGGGACGCAGGAGGAGGAGGAACCCCCAGGATACTCACGCCGATGCATCTCCCGGTACAAGATGGTCAACGCTTGCAAGGAGTTATCATCCGTGGGCTCCAGGGCTGCTACTTCCTGGGCCAAAACGAACGCTTCCTCTTGCTTCCCGGTCCTCTGCAGGCCGATCGCCTTCAACACCTGCGCATGGACCAGAGCCGGGGCTTTTGTCAGGGTTGCTCAACAGCTACTGCACGGAAGCACCGCACGGGGAAACCCCAAATGTCCAGCGCGCAAGGGCTGGAACGACTGCTGAGCAGACTCGGCCGCAGGGCACGGTCCGAACTCCACGGCGGTGCGCGCTGGGCAGGCAATGTGTTACAGGGACCGCCGCGTGGCGCCCGCGGGACCTGCCGCGAGCCTGCCGGGGCCCCGCGGAGTCAGGCAGGCAGGTCGCGCTCTGGCCCCGTCTGAGGCACCTGCTTTCTTGCCCCCCCCCCATCCACAGGCAAGGTCTGCTCATTAGGCCTGCATCCCACCTGCCTACATAAGACGGACCTCAAGCAGGCTCCAGGTGAGTTCAAGAAAGCCCGACAGGCCCACTAGACCCGGCCTGCTTTCTGCGGCAGCCGCCAAGGGCTGTCCGAGGGCCGTTCCCCCTCCGATAAGCCCTGCCACCGGATCCCAGGGACTTGACAAGCTGTGTCTGGGTGGGTGGCCAGGCAAACGGTGCGGCTGAAGGCACCGTGACGGTGCAAACCAGGTCCCTGAGCAACACAAAATTGTGGGTGTAGTCTAAGAGGCCTCTTTTTTTCTCTCTAGGTTGCCTGTTTCTCTTCTCCTTCAACTACCCCAAATGCCTCTTTGGCACTGCAGCACCGCCATGCGGAGCAGCTGGGTTCTTTTACCACTCTCACCGTCACCTCTGCAGCCCGGCAAAACAGCCCATGAACAACCCGTAATTCTGGGTTTGCACATAACAACAACCAGTCATTTAAAAAAAACAGAGTTCCCAACCCAGCAATGATAGATTCTCTTTCTGGGTTGTTAATGGTTTCTAAACTACGGCTTGTTAGCATGGTCACATTCAAAATTGCGACAGCTCAACATTCAATAACCCGAACGACGAGTACGCATGATGCAGGAGCCAGGCCACAGGCCCCGACATCTGGTTCAAACGGCTACTCGGCCTGGCAGGACAAATCCACCCAAGTTACCAAGGGGAGCATAATTTGTTCCTTTCTCAAAAGCCTGAGATACTATCTTTCTCATAACTGTTATTTTTCTCTGTTTGCAAACAGCATCAATGCCGCTCTCATTTTGCCTGTCCTAATATGTTAGCACTTTAAAATACAGGCTCATCATTTGATAATATTTAACCTTATCATGACCTGGTCACATTACCACCTAATTGGCTTATTAGGCTGAGCAATCTCGATGCCGGCAGAAAGAACGGGTAAAAAATGATTAAGTTGTCCTCTTCTGCCATAGGGGCTATTGACTAAAGCAGCAACATTGAGCTCATTGTTGTGAGAACAAAAAAGTTTATGCTAAAAAGAAAGAATTCATGGGGGGAGTGGAAGCACAAGCCCTCCCCCACCGCCCTCTCCCAAAAACGGTGGCCACGAGGCCGAGTGCTCTGCCAGTTGCTCCATCCCAGCCCAACACCAAAGAGCCGAGCGGGGCCTTCCGCATTTAGACACAAGCAGTTTACAAGTTAAAATAAGCAAACCCCGAGCTCACCTTTGCACAGTGGAGATCTTTATGCTTTTTCAGCAATTTGTCTGCTTGCTGGATGGCCATTTTATTATTGCCATTATCAAGGTAATCTAAAAAAGAGGGGGAGGGAAATCCAGAGGTTACGCTGCAGGCAGGACGAGTATCTACCCCTCAGCCTTCTTCAGGTGCTGTGTCCAGATTCGGATCAGTCACAGGCCTGAGCAGGTGGAAGAAGCACCCTTGGCCAGAAGATGCTCGGCCCACACCAGGCGAGGCACGGCCAGGCCCCGGGCTGCGCGACGTGTGAGCGGGCTCAAGCAGCTCTGGGGCAGCTGGGGCCAGCGTTGCCGGCACCCCGGCTGCTACTGCCGCCTGCGATCAGAGGAAACCTCGCCCGGCCAAATCTGTTTGGCTGCCCTGCCTCCTGCATGAAGCGAAGGAGACACGGTGGGCTGAGGGAGAGTCTTCAAGAGCAGGAATTCCCATCCCTGAGTTAGGGGGAAACGTGAAAGAAGCACAGGTGGGCATACAGGAGGGCAGCAAGGTAATAAACACTCTGAGGGGAATAAACAGGGGACCATATTCCTTGTGCAAAAACAGAGCTTTCTTGCACGGCACCAGGAGCTGGTGCCTTCCCGGTCGAGCTGGATGGAGACTGATTCTGAACAGACAGCTACTACAATTATATTCCGCCTCTCCTGCAGTGAACTCAAGGGAGCCATGCGTTGCTCTCTGCCTTGCGCCCTCAGAATAACTGGGATCACCCCGGTGATGGGCCCTCCTGGACGGTCCGCAGAAGGATCGCCACCATTACCTGCAGCCCCTCAAGTCTTGCTGGCCACAATATGGCGGCAGAGCACTCTGTCCTCCCACCCCTGCCTTCTTCTCTCCTGGTTCTTATCTTGGGGCGATCCCCACGCAGCGCATGAACAACATTTGAAAATGTTCAAACAGGCCTAGGGTAGGGCTTGCGGCCCATCTCCAGGTTTCCAATGTACCTTGCAGACTCCCACCACCTCATGCGACTGGGACGGGTAATAGGGAAACTTTCTGAAGTAACTGGAAACACAGCAAGCCACCGGCGTGCAAAGCTGAAGCCTAAGATCACGCAGCAAACAAGTTTCTCCAGCTCCTAAAATGCTGCCAGGTTCCTCTACCACAACATAACCATTTCCACGACTGCTACAGCACCGAGCATCCCTATGAGGAGGAAAGATTTTGGGGTGGAGGTAGTTTAACGCAGTAAACTTAATTAAACGCTGTTTCATCCAACTTCTGCATGACATGTAACAAACTGAGATGAGGCGTGAGTAACAAAGGGAAGGACTCTTTCAGCTGCCTTCAAATAAGCAGATGGAATATTACAGCAACGTAACGCCAAGAAAATGTGCCCCCACATCACAGGAGCAGCAGCCGAATGGGCTTGTCTCCTGAGAAAACATGCTATCTCTGTGCAACAGTCACATGTCTGGTTCTCAGTCGCAAGGCAACCTCCCCCCACTTGGTTGCCCTCTGGATCCTGGCTGGGAATGATGGGACTTGTAGTTGAACATATCTAGAAGACATCGGGTTGGGGAGGGCTGGTGCAGCACTACCGGGAAGGCAAAACAAACGGGACTGTAAATCAACTACTACTTGCGAGTAAGATGCAGCACAGCCCAAAGTTCTGCCCTCCCTGACAAATGCTGTTTACTGATCAGTTAAGTTTTTGGCTGAACGTCATTCAAAACTAAATATTTAAGAACTCCATATATCAAATGCTGCACTTTTTCGAGCTGACCAACACTTGCGAACATCGGCATCAAAGCAATTCCCTTTCCAACACAAAATCCTGAAACCACAAGAAAGTGCCTAGACAATTAGCTCAACGTAGACCAAGGAGGGGGAAAATAAAACGCGTGGTGGTCACCAACAAAATAGGAGAACCCCAAAATGTGATTTCCTGCATTACTGGGAGAGGCAGAGATTTGAAAATCTAAAGGTATGACACAGGAGTGAAACTATGAAGAAAATTTCATTCAAAAGGCATATGGCCAATACATGACCCCGAATCAAGGAAGTAATTAATACTCGGATGCAGTTTGGGGCACTGCATTAACCAGAAAGCGTGTTGCAGGCACACGCAAATACACTGTGGAGCTCTCCTGATAAAAGGGATTTGTTTTCGAGATTTGAGAACGGCATACAGCAATCCATTTCAGTTTGCAAAAGAGCACCAGACAGGGTCAGAGACCGGTGTGCCTTTTCTCTTTGCTTCTTACTGCTGCGGCCAAGCGTAATCCTAACAGGATAGATGGGGAGCAAGAAGGAGCAATTCCCAGACGTTTTGCAAAAAGAACGAGTTATGGAAACCTTGCAGCCCATTCACAGCACTCTGCCTAGCCTGCTCCATGCTCCCAAGGCAGCCAGGTTCTTAAATAAAGACACACACCCGCACTAAATAAACCATACAAAAAAACCACACACCATTCAAATTCTCCCAGGTATAACAAAGCACACACCTACATGCATAATTTCGTTTACTCCCTCCTAAATCATCCAGGTTTATGAAAAGCAGTTCATACCGTTTCCCTCCCTGTCTCAATTCCTGGGATTCTGTAATGAGGATACTCATGGAGCGCCGCTCTCTCGGACCCAGCGCTGCCTGTCATCTTAAGCACACACGAACGGGACCCCGGGACTGCCTGCTAAACACCGACCCCCAGGCCATACCCTGCGCCCTTGCCCCCGCCGCACGCATTTCACAAGGTCAGGGTTCACCCGGAGAAAGAGGGATTACGCAACAAGGCTGGAGGGTCCATCCCCATCCCTGCACACCCGAGAAAAGGAATTTTCCCCGACTCGCCCCACCTGAAAACTTAAAGCGGTGTTTCAGCATGAAACACGCAACTGAGGGATTCCCGCTTCGGGAGCGAACTGAGGCTCGGTGCCCCGAACTCCACTGGACCCCCCACTCGCTTCCCCGGGGAGCAGTTCCAAGCTTGGCCATGGGGGCCTGGTCCCCCCAGCCCAGCCGGGAACACGGGGGAGCTGCAGGGTCCGCGGCCCACCGTCTCCTCCGGGGCAACGTGGGGCCGCGATGCTGCAGCACGCAAGCCCCGCGCCGACTCCCAGGCCCTGCGCCACCCGAAGGAACAGCCGCGGGAGAAGTCTGGGGCCCTCCCGCAGCGCCCCGGCCCCGGCCCCGGCCCCGGCCCCGGCCCGGCCCGACGACGCACAGCAGGGCGCCGGCTGCCCGCCCCCCGCCGTTCTGCCCTCCCAG